ATTGGGAACTTAATTCGTTGTTGGTGGATCTGTGAGCTGATCTAACCATTTTGGAGAGAGATTTGGAATTATGCCCAAAGAGTTATTAAACTGCCTAAACCCTTTGACCCAGCAATGTCACTATTAGGTCTGTTTCCCAAGATGATTAGGGAAAATGGGAAAGAACCTACATGTTTGTAATCGAAAGGATTATGTACTGCGCAGATTCAATTTAGGTTCGGATCTCAAGAAATAATGACACGTACTTAGGATAAACTTACAAATAATCACATTTATTTACAATGGTTAATAATGATTAAAAACCACACAAGCAATAAAGAATGACATTCAATGCAATAAATAATAATCAACATGAAGGAAAATTGGAATAAGAAAAGAAAGGATACACACTCACTTACCAGGCGAGCTCAAATACCTAATAGCCTGGGGAGACTGGAGAATGGCCAAAAGGTCTGGTCAGGGAGGCCAACGAAATGGCGTCCTGCTCTGACTCAAGAAGCTGTGCACACGGTCCGCTTCTGAACACACACAACAGAGATTCGGTGTCCCTATCTCTGACATCAAAGTCTCCAAATATTCCTTTCCAGATGACCCCTTTTATATCCATGTAAACCAGGGAAAGACAATCTTCATATTTTGTATTGTGTACATGTCCTTGGTGAGCTCATGTCCTGACATGTACACATCTTTAACAAAAGTTGGGGCTTGATCAAAGCCCCAAAATATGTTTGTTGTGTAAGTCTCCAAGGGGTAGTTAATTCCTTGGACAGTTACACACCTTTCTCAAGAAAAATGTTCCTTGGGGGCCTCTAGGTGGCGCAGTGGATAGAGCACCGGCCCTGAAGTCAGGAGGACCTGAGTTCAAATACAGCCTCAGACCAAACACTTCATACTTACTAGCTGTGTGACCCTGGGCAAGTCACTTAACCCCAATTGCCAAAAAAAAGAAAGAAAGAAAGAAAGAAAAATGTTCCTTGAGATAATTTGCTTTCCTAGGTAACATAGTTTGTTGGTTATTGAATGTTTCATCTCCATAGTCACTGGTCATGCATGATAACTCCCATCTATCTTTATGTGAGGTCATGAGGCAGTTATACCGTTAGATCATGAGATGGTTACACAGGGGGCTGGGGAGGATCTATCCTCCTCAGTTTCCCTTACAATGTTCTAAAATATTTATAGCAGTTCTGTTTGTGGTTGCAAATAACTGGAAATTGTGGGGATGCCCATCAATTGGGGAATGGCTAAACACATTGTGGTATATGTTCATGATGGAATATTGCTCTGCTGTAAGAAATGATGAGCTCAATGATTTTAGAAAAGCATGGAGAGTCTTCCATGAAATAACGAAGAACAAAATGAGCAGAACCAAGAGAACATTATATACAGTAACAGCAGTGTTGTTTTTAGAACAGCTTTGAGCCACCAAGTCATTCTATTATAAATACCCAAATTAACCTCAGAGATCCCTTGAAGGAAAATACAGTTTGAATCCAGAAAGAAATATTACTATGGTGTAGGAAATAATGAACTGGTTGATATAGAAAAACATGGAAAGATTTGGATTTATGAAGGAAGATGCTATCTACCTTCAGAGAATCAGATGATAGGAGAAAATAAGCATAGTACAGTCTTATATATATGTGTATGAATGTATATGTGTATATATGTTTATAGACATCTATGTACATACATATGTATATATGTATGTATGTATGTGTGTGTGTATCCATGCTTAATTGTAGCCTTTTGGGGTGAGGGGCGGGAGGGGAAAAGATAAAGTAAAAAGTACACAACAGAGAGCAAAAGAAAACCAACAAGGAAGCAAAGAAAAGCTGGGCAGCTTTGAAAACAATGTGTAGAATTTACTATATAGGTTTTCTTGAAATGGAAATTTATTGTTTTATATTGAATCCTCTCTTATGGTCTGCTGTGTATGTGGCAATGTTTTTTCTTTTTCCTTTTCTCATTTTGTATATAAGTGTAAAATTAAAAAAAAATACCTCCACCCAAAAAGCAGGAGAAAGAATAGGAAAAAATGGATCTTTCCTATATGTCATAAGTAGTATCCATCTAAAACCAAGAGTCAGAATTTCTGTAATGGATATAAACTAAAATCTAATAAATCAGCAGTAAGGCAAAAAAAAAAAAAGAAAGAAAGAAAGAAAGAAAAGAATATGTAGCATTTGTTACATTTTTTTTAAGAATAGGAAACAGTCCTAAATAAAAATCCATGTTTTTATACTGAATCTTCTATATTTTCCTCCCTTGTTTTGTATTTAACTTGAAAATGAATAAAAAATTAAAAAAATATTCTGATTACTTTTCAATATAATCGCCTTCATTTGTAGAGTCACATACATTTTATTTTATACATTTTAAAATATTATTCTGAGAAGGGCCCCATAGTCCTCAGCAGATTGCTAAACGTGTCCATGACACAAAAAAAGTTAAGAATCTCTACTCTAATTTGACTCCTCTTTTCAACCTGTTACTTGCCCTGTTCTCTTAGTCTTTAACACTTTCACTGCTTTCCTCAGTGCCTCTCCCCTTTAAAATCCTACAGTCCTGCAGATGTCTTTCAAATGCTATTTGAAGATTCTTCCTTCCTTCTTTCCTTCTTTTTTTCCTTCTTTCCTTTTCTTGTCCTCAGCACAATGCCTGGCAAATAAAAGAGGCTTAATAAATATTGTGATAACCTCTTCTGATTTCCCTCAACTGGTTGTGATTTCTTTTGGGCTTTCTTTGTATCCTTTAACGCTAACTTAGGGTACTTTGCCTTGTTTTGTTTGTTATTTGTGTATATTCCTCCTATTAAGTAAGGTTCAGTGTGGAGATTTTTTAAGTGTTTTTCTTATTATTCTCTGTGGTGCTTTGGGCCTAGTAGACATAAAATAAATACCTGTTGAATTGCTTTGAAATCCTTTCACTATAATTGAATAGGATCATAGTTTTAGAATCATAGAATTATAGATGGAAGGAACCTTTTAGGTCATCATTTGGCCCTCTAATTCTATAATCGAGGAAACTGAGGCCTAGAGAAATTAAATAACCTTCTCAAGGTCATGCAGATAAGATAGAGGCAAAGCCAGGATCTGAACCCCTTGGTCCAAATGCTACTTGTTTCCACTGCACCATGGTGCTGGAAGGAATCTTACAGATTATGTAGTTAATCTAGTTGGTCATTCAGAATTGCTGATGTAATAACTGTCTTCTCCCTTCTGGTACTCTTCTGCTTCTCCTTGCACCTACTTTTTTGGCCTATCCTTCTTAATATCCTTTGCTGTATATTCATATTTTATCCCTTCTATGTGGTTATACTCCAAGGTTCTAGTCTGAGCCCTCCTCTCTCTCTCTCCACACATTTTCTTAGTAGTTTTGTCAACTCTTATGGATTTACCCATCATCTCTATGCATTTGACTCTCAAATCCACATATGGAGCCTTAGTCTATTTCCTGAGCTATAATCTCTTTTTTTTTTGGCTAGGCAATGGGGTTAAGTGACTTACCCAGGGTCACACAGCTAGTAAATGTTATGTGTCTGAGGTCAAATTTGAACTCAGGTCTTCCTGACTCCAGAGCCAATGCTCTATCCACTGTACCACCTAGCTGCCCCCCTGAGCTATAATCTCAAAACAACATATGCCTGCTGGTCATCTCCACCTGTATGTCCCATAGACTTCTCGCACTCTGTATGTCTAAAATAGAACTCATTTTCTCTCTACCTCTTTAATGGCTTGTCTATTTCTGTCCAGGGTTCAACCATCCTTTTAGTATTCATATTTTTGCAACCTTGGAGCCATCCTCTCTAGCCAATCAACTGCTGAATCCTTTCACCCCTACAACATTTCTTATCTCATCTTCTATAGAAAAAATGTCCTTATTAAATGCCTACTTTGTGCCAGGCACTTTGTAAGCCCTAGGGATACAAAGAAAGGAAAAATAAAACAGTCCTTGCTCTCCAGTAGCTTACAATCTAATGGAGAAGAAAACATGCAAACAACTATGTATAAACAAGATGTACTCAGAATAAATTGGGGGTAATCAAAAAGGGAGGACATTAAGATTAAGGAGGACTGGAAATTTCTTCTTGCAGAAGATGCAAATTTAGCCGAGATTTGAAGGAAACCAAGATAGATAGGTGACAGAGAGGTGGAGGAAAAATGTTCCAAGGATGAGGGAGAGCTGGTGAAAATACCTCCTATTAATTGGTCTCCCTGCCTCAGATCTCTCTTCTGTCCAGTCTATCTTGAACTGAGCTAACAAAGTGATTTTCCTAAAGATCACCATGTCATTCTACTTAAAAAGTTCCTGTGGCTTCCTGTTATCTCTAGGATGAAATACAGACTCCTCTTTGGCATTTAAAGCCCTCCATAATCTGCCTTTAACCTACATCCAAGCAGATTATACTCCTAGTGCAGCACCTGGAAAATAGATACTCAAGTACTATGCAAGTACCCAAATGCTGTTGAATGTATATGAAACTCCAGGCTCCTTCACTTTAGCACTTGCAAATATTTCAATTTCCCACTTATGTGAAAAGTGCTATGCTAAGCAGTGGAGGAGATATAAATATTAAATTAGAAACAGTTCCTGCCTTCATGGACCTTATAGTCTGGTGGGGCAGTAGAATACACAACGAATGACCATAGTATTGTAGCTATTTGACAAAAGTTTAAATGTGTGTAATGCACCAAAACACAGTTTTGATCCAGTGTGATCACCTATATCCATTAATGAATATTTGTTCTATCTTTATTCTAGCTTTGTTGATTGATATTTCATTCCTTGGGAATAAATCTCTTTACAAACATGTTTTCTTTTACATATTCCACTACTCTCTGTCCCTCACTGCTGTTTTTTTTTAAATTCAGCAGTTTTTCTTTGACTATCAAGATTCAGAAAGCTAGTTGAAGTCAGCAAGCATAGAATACTCCACATTTGGAATGAACCTTGTTAATATTTACTTTAATTAAATATTTTATTTCTGTACAGTTTCAGCCACAGTGAGTGTAAGAATATGGATTTGTCCTGACTAGTTAGAGCTTCATGAAATGAAATCAGCTTTAGCTACAAGATAACTCATATGTCTCAAGTCCTATATTCTCATGAGGAAAAGCACTTCTCTGCTACAGGTGAGTAGTCATAGTGTTTACCCAGGTAATCTTCATTTTGATAAGTACTAAGGGTACGTTGGCTTATCTTGAAGAATGCATTATTACTATGTGCTCTGTGCTTTTTTAGTACCATTTTTATAAGGAGATCACAAACATTTCATGAATATCATTTCTTTCATCCTGATGCCATTTTGCTGAGGTAGGAGGAGAGAATAGTTACTGGCAACCTGTATTTTATGCCTGGAGGAACCTAAAGACAGAACAGCTTGTGAAAGACCATATAGTAAAATAAATAGGATCTTAAAGTTGCTAAGGCTCTTTTATAGTTCACTGACCATAGGGATTTTTAAGAGAAGATAAATGGTAGGCTTTGTTTCTAAAACTGATTTTATGATTAGATTTTACTCTTCAGATGAATATCAATAAAGATTTTTTTTTTCTTCCAGAGAAAATCTTCTGAATTTCCCTTTGATCCCTGGAGACCTCTGTGATCTTTCTTCCAGTAAATGGATTACATGGGACAGGCACCTTTGAGTTTCCTTAGAAGGATTTTTGTTGTCTTAGTTGAATGAGTAGATAGCAGTGGGAATCCTTTATCTACCTCCACCTATACAAAGACAATAGGGATTCTGACTTTCATACTTTTGAGGTGGTCTCCTTGAGACATACTAGAAGTGAGTGTAGGGTAAACATTGTCCTTTGACTGTAAGAGATTTTTAGCTGGGATGAGGTTTCCTATTGACCACCTCTTATTCATTCCTTTACCCTTTATCTCTATCAGAAGAGTCATTTCTTCAAAATAATTGATTACATGCTCAGGCAACAAGAAGCCCGTCCTGCAAAGCAAGGGAACCTTAAATGTGGGTAAAATTACATTTTGTTCCATGATTCTATAGCAAGCAGATTGACACGCCCCCCCCTTTTTATGAATTAACATGTAAATGTAACTTATTAAGTACCATAAGATCCTTTTAGCTAGAAAAGGTACTATATCATTGACTTAGACTGAATTTCTTTATTTTAGAAAAATAAGATCCCTTGACTCAGGGAATTGAGTCAAGTTAGGCATTGTTAGTTAGCTTTCCTTAAGAAAGAAAAAGTAGAATAGCTTCCAAGTTCTATGGTAAATCATTAGGTCTTCAAATTCCAAATGAAAATAATTAGAACCACAGATGCCAGAAAAAATTGTTTTGCTTTCTTTCCCATACATAAACATATGTTTGATTTACATTCCTGCATAACCATTTTTGGAAAAGTGGTTTAAATAAGCCACTTTTTCATTGATTTGGTTGTAACTAATTTTTGTTCTTCCAGGGGAGGTTATGGATACAACTATGGTGGAAAATGTTTCTAAAAGGCAAAAAGCGACACAGTAGTAGCAGTTCCCAAAGTAGTGAAAATCAGTACTAAGAGCAGGGTAAGGGGGATCAGTTAGAATTGAGTCACCAGGCAGCCACTTAATTTTTTTGTATTTATAACAAATAATATACATAAAATATTTATCATAGGCTCATTGCATGATATTAAGTGGTGTGAACATTTAGTTTTATAACTTTAAATATTGGATCTAATTCTACTTTGGATGATGTTCTATTCTGGATTTTCCATTAAATGGATGAAGCCATTTTTGACCTCTGTCCGATATTTCTTGAACTGAGCTAACAAAGTGATATTCCTAAAGATCACCATGTCATTTTGCTTAAAAAGTTCCTGTGGCTTCCTGTTACCTCTAGGATGAAATACAAATTCCTCTTTGGCATTTAAAGTCCTCTATAAACTGCCTTTAACCTATATCCAAGCAGATTGTACTCCTACTGTAGTACCTGTAGATACTCAAGGCCTATGTAAGTACCCAATGAAGCCATTAAAATAAATCAGCTACAGTGTACAAGTGGGTCTTTTGTAATGACGCTGAAAATTTTCAGATTCTCCCTCTTGGGGTCACTTCACCTCTCAGGGCACCTGGCACCTTTTTCACATGCAAAGTTTGTAGAAGAGTTGTCATTCTGCATCTGTGATGGGAGTTTCCAGATACTACCTATACAGGAGTGGGAGCTCCCCTCAGTAGTGAACTTATAGGTTTGAATGCCCCCCAGAAGAGGGGAGTTTTACACAGTGTTCTAGGAGTTTTCGAGTTTTGAATAAGTCTATCTACTCCCAGCATGCATGACATAGGTTCGTAGATTTAGAGCTAGAAAGAACCTTAGAAGGCATCTAGTTCAGCCCCTTCATTTTACAGATGAGGAAACTGAAACCTAGCAGTGTTAAGGGAGTTGTGTACAGATCATACAGGTGACAGAGCTAGATATTTGTCAGTGTGCAGGTAAAGTTCAAACATACAGATATATTGTCTCATATTCACAGATGCCATAGGAAGGTAAATGAATAATTCTGATAGGCAGAATGGTGATGTGGAGGAAGGATTGCTGGATTTGGAGCCAGAGGACCTGGCTACAAGTCTTGACTTTGCCACTTGCTGCAAGTGTGACCTTGGGCAAGCCCTTTCACTTCCCTGGGCCTCAGATGTCCTCATCTGTAAAATGAGGTGCCTGGATTAGGTGACCTCTGTGAATCTAGGTTTAGACCTATGATTTTGTTTTACAAAATCTAATCGATGCAAATGAGAACCTCTAATCCTGAACAAAACATTTCATTTTCCTATTCACAGTTTGTGGAGAACTGATTTAACAATTCAGCAAACCCTTATGGCCCAGCATTGAATTTAAGAGATACATAAAGGTGAATGGACATGTACCCTGTTCTCATGGACTTTACAGTTAAAGGAGGAGGATAAAACCTATCAGTCTTTTTGATTGGCATCATTTTTAAAGTAAAATGATCAGGATGGTAGTAAATTATTTTCATTGTAGGGATTCTTAGTTTCAGGAAGGTATTCTATGATATGTGTATGTAGTGGTACAGAAGCTTCCATCATTTTTGTCTACTGATGTTCTACCTATCCTTCAAAGCTCAACTCAAATTCCACTTTCTCCAAGAAACTTCTCTCTTTTTTTTTTAGGTAATTGGGGTTAAGTGACTTGCCTAGGGTCACACAGCTAGTAGGTGTCAAGTGTTTGGTCTGAGGCTGAATTTGAACTCAGGTCCTCCTGACTTCAGGGCCGGTGCTCTATCCACTGCGACACCTAGCCGCCCCCCCTGAAACTTCTCTTGATTCCCTCTTTTGTCCTGCCCTCCTCCTGCCCTACAGCCAGAATTATTTGGCTTCTGCATTCTAACAAATAAAAATCCTCTTCATGAAAGCACAGAGAAGTCTGGACTAGAATATACCCTACAGTCTAGTCACTACATTGTGAGGTTGCTGTTTGTTCTTCCTTCTCGAAGAAGACCATGAAATCAAGGAAGTGATGCCATGACATGCAAGTGAATTGGATTTAAGTGAGGGAGGGCTGTTCAAGGTCACCAGCCTCACTTTCTCCTCTGGAGCCATCTGGGTCCAATGGCCAGATATGGATCAGGACAACTGGAGATGGCCCAGGATACAGTCAGGACAGGTCCAATCAACAGATATCTATTGGACACCTATTAAATACTCTTCACTGTACCTGAAGCTTTAGGGAATACAGAAGTTGATGCATAATATCTTCTTAGAAGTAGTTAATAGTAGAGATGGGCAGAAAAAAACATGAAATAGTGAACAATGCAGAAAGTATACAGATGAAACATACTGTTTGCTCATCTCAAAGAGGCAGGGGACTTAGTGGGGCTGATTGTTGTATACATTGGCAAATGTAGTCTCTCTATTTGGTTACTTCTTTGTCTTTGTAGCAAGAAGTGGCATTAGTGTTTTTAATTAAACGATTTGTGCCAAATTAGTAGTGACTCTTATGAATGTTGTGGAGCCTAGAAAAGGGAGAGATTAAAGAGTCAGAAAGGTTTCAGGAAAGATGACAGAATATTAGTGCTATTGTGAATATATGTAAAAAGGTGTATCTGTGGTTATGTAAAATATATAGATTAGGAGATTATAATAAGCTGATAGGACACAGATAATACACATTATCTTCAGAACTTGCTATTGGCCCTGCCTGCCCTCTTACTTTTCCTGCTAGGGCTTAGAACCTAAGTACTGCCTGGCATTTATATCTGCAGTGAACTTCCTGTGAACATGCAAACTTCTTTGTGTGTTGTTTTTTCCTCATTTGAGTGTTACATCCTTGAGAGCAGGGATTGTCTCATTTTAAAAATTTGTATTCCTAGCATTTTAGTGCAGTCCTGGATGTATAATAACTACCATTAATATTTTGCCGTTCCAAGAAAGAAATGGGGCTTGTTACAGGCTTTGAAGGCTTTGCAGGATTTATTAAGTAGATTAAGGAGAGAAAGGATAGGTCCAGGTCTAGAGTTCACCACCAGCCAATTAAATAAAAGGCATTTATTAAGTGCACCCTGTGTCCTAGGCATTGTGCTAACACTCAAGAATGGTATTTTAGTGGAGAAATAAGCTCCTTAGAATGGTTCTAGAACTAGAACCAAAGAATTGTGGAATGTTAGTGCTGAGAGCAACCTCAGAAGTCATCTTGTTTTTTTCCCTTTTTATGAAGGAGAAAACTAAATTCAGGGAGAGGAAGTAAGAAAGTGAAATGAGAATAGCTCTGGATTTGGGAGCCTAGGTCAGAAGAGCTAAACCGAACTCCTGGTTCTGCCACTGAACTTCACCTTTGTGACCTTCAGCAAAGTCATGTTGCTGATGGGCTTCAGTTTGCACATCTATACAAAGAGGGGGTTGGACTAATGTGACTTCTAAGATCTCTTCCATTTGTATGGAGTTATAATTTTTTGGGTGGTCTCATTTTCTGACATTCATTATTTTTCTGACTTGCACAGAATTATGTAGCCAATTTGTAGCAGAACAGATACTAGATCCCAGATCTCCTAATTTCTAGCTTAGTATTTTTAAAGCCTCTCCTACTTTGAAGATGAAAAAATTGCTAGAAAAGAAACAGAAATGTTTACCTTTGTTAAGCTTGAGAGCTCAGTAGAATTTCCTGTTATTACCC